GGAGCGAAGTGAGTCTCCTTTCTAACCTTGTGAGAGGGAAATGTCCTCATAGGTGAATTAATTGGATATTTGCTCCTATTTGTGGGGGCTACGTACGCACGAGGTGACGAGAGTCCGTGCGTAGCTATTATTATGCTATTGTCCGGGTAGTCTAGGACCCAAAAGCATGCTATACTTTGAATATTTGTAATCTTATGAATAGTTGAAATGCTTAAACCACCTCAAAATAGTAAATGAATTCCTAACAAGATGTAAACCTCATTTTCTTAAATTGTTAAAAGAGAATTAGCTTTTCTTTGAATAATTGCCCCATGTTGGCTCCTCGATTGAGTGCCTCTATGTGTTTATTTTGGAACGGGCCGAACGCCTCGGCAGATTAAATAGATGCATCTATAGGCGCGCCGTCGACCCTCGGCAAGTGCACAGTTTATTTCTGTTGGATCGGGCTGTCGCCTCGGCATGATATGCGCATGCTTGTATTGCTGCCTTGAGTTTAATTACGTTATTATTGCCTCTTCATGGCTTGAAGTTATTTGGATAATTACGAAATGAAATCTTGGAAATTTTCTATAAAAGAATTAATTGTTTACCTGTTTCCTTCTATTTGGACTAAGATCATGTTTGTAGAAATCCATAATTTAATGTATTACTGACCTCACTATTGAACCATTAGTAAGTACCAAAGTCGACCATCTCGTCTCTACTTCTTCGAGGTTAGGCGGGATACTCATTGAGTACACGTTGTTTTCGTACTCATACTACACTTCTGTGCATTTTTGTTGCACAGGTATATGTAACTCTTGTGGCCTACTGGGCGTAGCAGCACGGATGATTTGGGGGCTAGGTGAGTTGCATTATTCGAGGCGGCCCGCAGCTAGTATAGTCCTTTTCAGTACATTGTATTTATTTCATGTCCACTGTATTCCGGGCGAATGTTGCATTTTATTTCCTTATCAGTAGATGCTCATGCACTTGTGACACCGGGTTCTGGGATGGTTGTAGGATTGTTAAATATCCACTTGGTTAAAGACATTATTCTTATTTCAATGAATTCCATTACTTGTTGTCTAAATGTATAAAAGGAATGATTCCCTTAAGTTTAAAACAAGAAGTTTCTAGTTATTGGTTGTTGGCTTGCCTGACAATGGTGTCCGGCGCCATCACGACCCTTAGTGGATTTTGGGTTGTGACAGTATAGCGTAAGTGTGTGTGTATATATATATATATATATATATATATATATATATATATATATATATATATATATATATATATA